CCGGGGAAACTGGACTTCGTCTTTTTTTTTTTTTTTTTTTTTTTTTTTTTTTGTTCAATGGATTGTAAGGACTAAAAAAATGAGACATTTTTCCCCAAGCAGAACAAAAACAAAAATGTATCTCAAATAACCTGAATGTATTTTATAACTGACTGGAACTTAATCCATATGCCTTTGACTTTAATCAGCAAAGATTCAATAAACAAGGAGCATAAACTCAAATTGCTTGCACGAGAAAATATGTTGTGCACAGTTTTAAAGATAAACAAGCCCTCCTTTGATCAAATGTTTGAAATCGTTTCTGAAACGAAAAACTATGCCAACGTCCCAGGGTACAGAATGACAGGTAATGTCTGCTCACTAAAGCGAAAATTAACTTTTGGCAAGCGAAGCAGAGAGTCATAACCCATCTGACGCCAGTCTGACAGAGCCCCTGGCTATGGAAAGCGAAGAAAATAAATAAATCAGCAGAGATCTGGGAACAAGTTGCATCATTCTGACTTTTGTTTCTGATGTGTCAGAGGAGACAGAGACTTTGAGGGCCTCTGAGCAACATGCATGCTGGGAAACGTCACTAATTACTGGAAATACATTAATACAAAGAGATGAACTGAAAGAGGTGTTACATGAGGACAAAAGAGAGGAGTAATGATCAGTTCAGGAAAAGAAAAGTCATCCTTTTAAAAACGTAGCCTAATGTATTAAAATATCCCACTGAAATTAATTTATAAAGCAACATGAGTGTTAAGAAATGGTGGGCTCGGCACACAGCCCTGACATCCAAAACATGTGGAAATAAGGTTTCTGTTATTATTGCGCTACAAAAAAAAAAAAAAAAAGACTGTAAAACTTAACGTCCCATAAATTCATTCTTGTTTTTCTCCAGCAAACATTTTCATCTCTTTTGCATCTGCTTGCCTTTCTGTCCCTTAGCAGTCGTCCTCTCCTCTGGCAAAAACACTGAATCCTTTCTCATCTGGTAAACCTCGCCCCACTCTGTGCCCCCTGAGTCCTCATCTAAGCACTCCGATGCCTCTGCTGGGCTCCAATCGGGACCAGCAGTACATTTCTCCCAGACCGACTGTGGTTTGTGGTAAAAATGGCCGTGGTGCTGTGGGCTGTTACGCTGCACCTCAGGACGCACATTAACCTCACCGCGAGTGCTGATCTGCTTGTAGGCTGCAACCGCCAAGCGGCACCACTAAAACTACAGTAACACTGACACCAGAGTGCTTTCTGTCACACAGAGTGCTCTTACCGCATGAAGAACATCTGCAGAACACCATTACAGCACGAGTACGAGATGCTACTAAATATTCAACTCTGAGCTATTCAGAAACCGTTTCCGATTGTGGTTTATTACATCTGTCTGATGGTGACTTGTCAGTTTAAATACAAAAGTTGTAATCCTTCTTCACATTACAGCATTATAAGTTTGTAATGTTTGCTATTGGGAATTATGTGCCAGACTAACGTGAAATTGAAAATGAAAGGAAGAAAGTGCATGAAATTGAAATGAAAGGAAGATGATATGCGTGAAAAGGTTTTTAAAATGTTTGCTGAATACAAATCTGTAAAGTGTGGTTTGCATATTCACTCCCACTGAGTGGGAGTGAATGAGAACCGCCTTTCACCGCAGTTACAGTTCTTCCTGTTTGTTGCCGTTTATAGTGATGCACACAACAATTTTCCGCATAGAGCAGAAAGTTTAAGTTTGGTCTCATCTGATCAGAACATGTTTGTAGCCTGTAGAAATCTGACAATATATTTTTTTATTATATTTTTTACTTCCTTCAAGAATTACTTTCTTCTTGCCACTCTCCCAGAAAGGGTAGATTTGTGGAAACACAACTAACCCTGCAGCTGTCTAGATGACAGATTGTCCCACCTGAATTGGGGATTTCTGCAGCTCCTCCACAGTCACCATGGGCCTCCTGCATCTTTATTATTGTTTAATTATCTTGTAGAATGGCTGTAATTATTAACTCATTTTAAGTTGGACTATTATTACTAATTAGGTGACGTCTGGCTGCACAGCAATTTATTGAAGGGTATCAGAGTGAAGCAGCCTCAAGTTTTCCTTCCACTTTAAAACGATGTGTTATTTTAGATTGATCTAAGAGAATTAAATCCTAATTATCATTTATCTTATGTTGCATATTTTACTTTACTGTTCAATTTCTTATTTTTTTCCTAATGACCCTTTACTTGTTGATGGTACACTTGAATTTCCCCATGGTGGGACAATAAAAATACCATATTTCTATTTCTGAATATAAGCACTCAGAGACTTCCTGGTGCCCATCGCCTTGGAGACAAAGCAAAGCTATAACAGAGACTGTAAGTGTATCTTCCTGCCAGCTAATTTTGTCTCACTGAATTTTTTTATTTGACTAATCCAGCTTGAATCAGTTGTAAGAAGTGGAGTTCCTGGAAAATCCCAGAGTTGGTCTATTACAGCATGAAAACCCGGATCAAAATCCCCCAAATGTAGTTTCTCCAACCACTTGACTAAAATAAATGGATCAGTGTGTTCTGTAAACGGGACAGTTGAATCTTAAAGGCTCCACCTATGTCTCAACCTAAAGTTTGAGCTTCAGTTGAACTTACATCACGAAGCCGTACATAAGAGGTTGGCGGAGCACTTTTTGCTTCTGAACAATATGATATTATCATCAGCCCCAAATGAAAACATTGTGAAACAGACTGAGGAGGAACTGGGAATTAGCATCACTCTGGAACTATGCAGAGCAAATGTGAAGCAAACTGTAGAAATGATAAAGTTGTTGGTCCTGAATCTGTCCATCTGCGGAGCTTTATTTTGAAAGTTGAGGTTATAAATGGTCCCTTTCCATCTGCTAGTTCTCCTCTGAGGTCAGAGACATTCAATATGCGGTTCACTCCGGCTCCCTGCAGAGTCATTATAGGTCCCCTGAGCTGCAGAAATCAATCTGTAAATGGCCAGAGCTGCAACTCGTCCTTTGTAAGGAAGATGAAGCGGCACTTTGCTCATAGGTTTAAAAAGTGCGAGGTTGGACGTAATGGCCAACAGGTGCATTACACAACCGATGATGGACCAACGAGAGTCAGAGATGACAGAAAGCTTTAAAAGTGAAAATGAATATGACTCACTGAGTTCATCAAAGTGCGTCTCAATGCCGTCGACTCCAGGCACAGAGCAGATGAGACGAGCCTTCAGAAAGGTGCTCCATTTGTTGACCAGGCAGCAATGTCCACCGTCATCGTTCTGCAGGAATCACATCCAAACAAACATCCAGAGTCACTCGTCAGGGCGACTCCAACAGTATCTGTCTAACAGGTGTCTGAAACAGCTGTTAACCAAAGTTAACATGAATAATGGTCACCATCATCTGCCTGAACAAGGGGTCAGCCAGCTGCAGCTTGTGCTACTGAGGTGAAGCATAAAGTCCTGAGAAAAAGGAGTTGGTGAGTAAACCTCAGCTCAGCCTGGATGATTTGTGAGGATTAAAAAGACACGTTTTAACTTTTACCTTGAGTTATGAAGACAAATAATAAAAAAAAAAAAATCATTGCTCCTAATGATTTAAAGATCACTGAGCAAATTACTCAGGTCATCTTATTTGTGCGACTAATCCAAAACATTCAAAACTGTCTCCTCCCTGCAGGCAAGATAAATAACAATAGGAATATTTTTAAATCTGATAATAAACAGTTATCCAAGAATTATAAACATATGGCACCTCTGTCAATAATATTTTTAAAGTTTTGGATTCAGTTCAGGTTTATGTCAGTGCAATAAATTATAAATATTTTTTAAGGGGTTTTTACAAATTTTACCAGAGCTGTCAGTAACTGTGGAAGCTGCTACATTTTTCTATTCATTTGTTTTTTCTATGAAGAGCACGTATTGCAGAACATCCTGGATGGCCACCCTCAAAGGAGGACAAAACAAATGAAAACAGGCCAAAGGCAATCACTCACCAAGCCCTTCGATTTATTTAAAGCTCACTGGCGATTATCAGCTTGTGGTTTCGGACCTGTGTGATAACTCACCAAGCAGATCCGACCTATCCTGGACTGCGTCATGGGACTCTGGCCCACCTCAGAGGCTTTCTCACGGAAGAAGAAGTAGAGCTTATCATCATTCTTTTCAGCGCTGTCTGGGATCAGGTGAGCATGGACAAAAGTCGGATCTGAAGGGAAAAACGGAAAAAGGATGATTGGCCCATTTGCTGTCCAGACCTGCCTGCAGTGGGTTGTTTTATATGTTTTTCAACTAAATTTAATATAGAGGTTGCTCTTATGTGTTGCAAGTTTTGGGATATTTGATGACTTTCAAATCAACCACCAAATTATACTGATTTCATGCTATAAGGATTGGACTTATGAACAGTACAATATTTGTAAAATGAGTCAAGCTAATATATTATCTTTTTCTAAGTACAAGTTAATCTCAGTAAATTGGATCAGATCTGCAAGGCACACTGATGGAAAATTGGGTGGAAGAAAAAAAATTGGAAGCTAAAATGATCAAAATTAATAGAAAATGATGGCTAAAATGTATCACTCTGTTTTTAATGATTCCGTAAGATCCTAATTAATTCAATCGCTATAGTAAATTTACTTTTCAAAGATAGTTTATTTCATGCAGTTGCACCTATATTATAATTCTCAAATAAAAAGAAGCAGCAGACCTTTGCTCCTTAAGGCCAAACAGTCACAAAACTTAATTTTAGGGAACAGAAATCATTTATGTTTCTGTTCGGTATTAATGTCTTTGCACTATGTGAGGGATCATACATAGTGCACACACAGTCGCACTGATTCTCTGGGTCACCACAGGACTCACAACACACACAGCGCCACCCCCTCCACCTCTGGACCCCGCTGTGAAAGACCAGCATCCCAAACAGGGACAAACCAAAAAGCCAGAGGAAGGAGGGGAGCAACCAGTACCCCCATAATGTGGGGGAGGGTGTTACCCGAGATATTTCAAAACGGCTGATTAGCAGGACTCAGGTGTCCTGATTCGCCAGATTGCCAGCAGGGGACTGTTGTCAGGGCAACAGGGTCAGTGGAAAAACTGGGAGCCAACAACACAGACGGGGAGTCTGCTATTGATTTGGCAAAAATCAACCAAAAAGCAGCAGACCAGCAATAATATCACTGTAACAGTTGTACTTCATTAGAGAGAAAACTGAGTCGTTATTGACATTCCAGGATTTCCCCAACAAATACGGCCGAGTCTGCAGGCATCCGCAGGATCTGAAAGGATTTAATGACTCAAAGCATCATTGGGTCTGGTGGAGCAGGAGGAAAAGATCAGGAAGCTCAGATGACACGCATGCGTCAGCATTATGGAGGTTTGCAAAATGCTCAAACTGTGTTCCCAATTTCCTGGTGCATAAATTCAAAATGGTTTGTCGAGAGACAAGGAAGAGAAATAAAAGGCAAATGCAGATCAAGCGGTAAGCTAAGACATTACCATTTAACCATCTGGAGTTGTACTGATCGGTCCTCATGGCTGTCTGCTTCCCCAGAGTACGGAAGATGGCGGAGTCTGTTCCCATGAAGTCCACGTAGACTCCAGCATAGAGCTCTCCATCTGCCAGTCACAGCGAAGGGAAAAGAGAAGAAAGAATTAGGATACCAGGAAATACTCCCAGGTCAAAAGACACACAACATGTTGTTCAACACTAGTAATAGAAACTTGTTTTCCAGATTTTTACTAAATTCCCTTTGATATCACTTGAAGCAGCCATATATTTTCAAGGGAGTTGCTAACATTAAAGGAAGGCAGCAATATGCATGATAAAACTGTATTCTAGTGTATGTGACGTGTCAGTATTGAACATGTTAAATTCTTTTGTAACGACACTCATGCTACAGCTCTTCCAGAGCCAAATTCATATCACTGAAAACCATTTTCATCCAAAGACAGATTATATTTTGCGCACCAGTGTTCATTTCCAATGAAATTAAAACTATGTCCAATTAGTTTTGTCTGCACTGGGATCCCACAGACATAATGGGAAGAAACCTTACAATAATGTTATTATTGTGGGATATCTTTGTTGCATCAGTCAGGTTTTCTAAGGTCAAATGAAGTGTGTCACAGCCAAACATAAGCTCTTTCTTTCTTTCTTTGACACACACATGAACTCACACAGAGGTGTCGATTATCGGCAGCCATGTCTGGCCACCTGCAAGATGGTGACAACTGATGACCACCCGCTGAAATAACAGCACACACATCTGTGTGAAAAGATAAGTGATTACTTATAATCCACTGACAACTAACCAATTATCGCCACTCGATTCATTACATTATTTTTAACTTTCAACTCTTATTTCAGGAACGCAGGTAGATTTTCTTTGCAGTTTTTGATGAAATTATTACTTAATCAGCTTGTAAAATAAACATATTGCAAATGTTGCAAACAAAGAAATGAAATAATAATATCAAAATAGAATGAAGAGGAAAAAGTGGATAAAATGATCTTTTATTGGGTTTACACTGGTTAGGATCTGGGTCAAGGAAAACTTTTTGTAATTATATCAGCAAACAAAGATTCCACTTTTATTCTACATATCTAGTTTCAAGATGCTTGCCATACAACACATTATGTAGCACTGCATTTCCTACCAGTGACTCACTGATAACACACGATTATGTATCTTTGTGTCACAGTTACATTATATCATGTTTTTTTTCAATGAGATGCCTTAATTGTCTTCTAAAGTTCCAATGCATTTGTTGTTTTTATTCTAATTTTAATTTTGATACTTATTCCGTTAAAGCATTTTGAATGACCTCATGCACAAAGAAAAGAATCAGAAAAAGAATTAACTCACGGATCAGGGCAGAAACGCTGTTAAGTTTAGGATCATAGGGACATTTTCCTTTTCCAGAGTCCACTTTGCCAGGTTCCAGACGGAAAATGTATTCCTGTAACACAGAGGGATGGAGGAATATTTTCTAAACATTCTTTGGAAAAACAAAGCAAGAATTAGTAAAGGAAGCAACGTGTGGTCATTAAGGCACTGTGCAACATTTTAAAAGCAAAATAAATCACTCAGCTAAGGGAGAAACAGGCACACACATCAAGGATCTGAAGTGATGCAGGAAAAGGCTGGGAACAATCCAAGGCCCAGTGTTTGCTTGCCCTAACAAATTTCAATTATTCCTGTGCGCAAGAGGAGTTTTTACACATCTGTGTCAACACTCATGCTTTTATGTTGTCTCGCAGGTACAACAAATGTTCAGCAGAGCACAGTCGGGGGTAAAGTTGTATTTGTAACCTGCAGTTGGATATTATCTTTTGAAAGAGTAACTCAGCAAGATCTGTGCAAAAATGCTGGGGAAAAACATGAACATTTCCATAAATCAATAAAAATGTCAAGTGTTCGGCTTTGTGGACATCATTTAAACCAAAAGTTCTTATATACACGGGACTGGCTGCAGCTGAATTTTATCTGACGAAAGTTTGAACAAAAATAGTTTTAATTAAGATCCATCTATGGTCAATGTGCTGAAAAGTTTGAGCTTTTTCCCCCCCATTTTCTTTGTGTTTTTGTATGAGACCATTAAAAGACTGAAAAATAACCTTTTTTTTGTTGACTGATGTTTGTTTTGCACTCAAAAATCTATCTGCATTGTAATTTTTCAACAAATCTGGCAGAAGGAACTCTGCCTTTACCAGTAGTAAACCTGAAGCAATTTTAACCCCAGTTCTTCACTTGGTGGACACCATTATTGGAATAAACCCCGCCGCCCACCTTATTGCTCAAAGGCTCAGATGTTGAGCTGTAGTCTGCTGCTCGACTCGTTCTCCCTCCTGACTGAAGTGCCTGTAGGTTGCTGAAACCCTAAAAAGCAGAAACAATTAGCCATCTTGTTAGCAACCTGTCGCAGCCCAGACCGAGTCCAGATTCAGCTGATGATGACGGAGACTGAAGAAGAATGTACGTGAAACAGGACTGGAGAAATCAACAACATGAGGAACTCTGAAAAATGAAAAGATAAATCATGAAGAAGTGGACAGAGTGAAGAGCTAAAGAGAGACATGTTTGAATTAGATTCAGACACGTGCAAGAAAGAGTGCAGAAAAAAAAGAAACCATGCAAAACTAAAAGAAGAAAACAGGAAAGAAATGTATAAAGTGAAATGAAGAGCAGGCCAATGTAGATATTTTCAGTCAAAATATGAACCATAAATGTAATGAAAGGACATCGACCACTGTTTTTTAATTTTTAAAAAAAAAATAAAATAAAATATGCTGTATAAATGCCTACATGTGCAGTTTTCAGACCTGTATGGATTAGAGAAAATCCACAGATATTCAAACCGAAGCTCCCAGCTCTCGTTTTTAGATTTTAAGCTGTTGTGTGAAAAGTTTAAATAAGTCATCATGAAGTCCAAATTGTTGGAACATTCATGAGTAGATATAATTTAAACCAGCTCACAATGAACAAAGTGCAATATATATATTTTTGCTACAAAATGCATGCAAAAAAAATTAATATTATAAACTATTTATTTTACAGCGTAGTGCTATTGTATAGCAATTTATTACTAAAAAAAAAACCCTTAAGCATTTACAAATGTATCTATTTAAATATTCCAGTGTTAAAATTAAACTTCTAATACAAACAAAAATCCATAGAGGCAACCCTGGAGCAGCATGGGCAGACGCTAAAAATAAAATACAAATAATTTAAAGCCCACTGCGCGACACAAAGAAGGATATGCGTTTATGTTTACATCTACTCCTGCAGAGGAAAATCCTTAAAGTGTGAAGCAGCGCAATGTTCGGACCTCAGGGGGGAAGCAGAATGACAAGAGGCAGACTGACCTTTCCATCGAAACCTGAAGCCTCCAAATGAACAGGGAGACTAAACAGCGGCGGATGAATGTAAGTGTGCCGATTATAACGCGGCCAGCAGCTGCTGCAGCTCTGCATGGGCGTCCATGGAGGTGGGGGTAGGGCTCAGGGTGGGGTGGGGGGATCTACAAGACTGATGATGGATGAGAAGCTCCATCAGTAATGATGGCTTTTCAGAGGCTCTCACCCAGACAGAAAGAAAGACAGGCCACAGGCACTGCTGTGTGTAAACAGGTGAGACATCGGACCCCCAGCGAGGGGGGGATTTTCTAGATAAAGTGACACCACAACATTCCCAGGGGAAAGAGGCTTCAAACGGCAGGAGTTAGAAATCGCACCAAGACCAATTTTGGAATGATAATGGGAATGTGGACAGGGCCAGCCAGGAGCTTGTGGAAGGGTGAAAATCAATGAAAGCTAAGAGGAGGAAAATAATGGAAGAGAAGCAGAACCCGAGAAACTGATGGGCAGAGGGGTTAAACGGGGAAACTCTGACCTCAGATTGATCGACTGATGGGGTTCTTTTAAAAACGAGGGCGCAAAGGTCAAAACGTCTCTACGGCTGGATGCATCTTTTGGTTACCTGGGATCGACGTCCTCGATCCACGTACGTGCAGATGGGATTATATGCTCCTGTTCCACACACATACAGGTGGGTCCGGTTCCACGGCTCGATCAGACGGATGAAGTTCCCACATTCCCCCTGAGGAAGGGCAAAACAAAATCAACAAGATTAGGATTAGGTCTTAAAAAAAGCCAAAACATGAAATATATTTTAAAAAAACCAGTTACATAACATTTAATTCCCCAGACTGCTTCTCTTTATAGATTCCATTCGTGGATAAAAACCAGTCTATTTGTTTGGTCTTTGTTGGCATATTTTATAGGACATTTTTTTTTATTTTTCAGCAAATCTGTCTGCTGTAGATCTTGGTCTCTTGGATTAGGTAAAAAGTTTGGACTGTGAAAGAAAAATGTGACCATAAAAGTGATCAAAAACGTAGTTAAGATGGCAATTCAGATAAAAATCCTTTCTGCGACCAAGATTGATCTGCTTTATAATCCCCATCTGCTGTCACAGTCTCTGCTTTGTGTTGCCTTAACAAGGTGATTTAATGAACAATCCTCCACTAATCACAAATGTCACAATTCACCACATGCTAAATATGTTTTTTTTAAAAGAAAAAAAAAATAAAATAAGGATCACAATCAGGACAAAACAAGACAACATAACCTATCAAATAAATAAATAAGCTAATACAAAAATCAATACATTTTTCATATCTTTGATCATTTTAGGAAAATTAACATAATTAAAACAGCACATTTTTGTGGAAAATCTGTCATGAGAAGAAAAGAGAAATATATCTGGTGTTGGTAATGAAATAATTTATTTAGAACTCTTAAAAACTAACTGATTAATTTTTATATATTTTCTACAAAAAAATGTACATTTTGTCTGTTTCTTTTAATTTTTCTTTATTTTTCCAATCTAAAAAAAGTATTAATTTGTTTTTTTTTTGTTGAGTTGGGGCATCATGGTGCTTGCTTGCAGCTACTTAATACTGATTTTATTCCAAATTACGGCGTAAAAATTAATAAACTAAATTAATGTAGTGCTTTTATAGCCATACTATAAAAGCACTACACTTGAAGCACCTTAGCCACATTCATCCAGTCACACATACATTTCTACATTAACATGCAGATTGATAAGTGACTTGTCAAGGGAGACACTAACAGGAATCAAACCTACAACCTTATGATTGCAAGACAACCTCTCTACCCACTGAACCACAGTCATCCCTGCATACAATTTTTTTTTTTCCCACGGACTCCATTGTGCATCGAAATCATTTTCAGGTCCACTTCTTCTTTTCAAATTGGGAGTTTTGAAAGGTTTTGTGGTACAAGTTGCCTTTATGCAACGGACGAACAGGAAGAAGGGGATGAGATGCAGCAAGTGGTCCGGAGCCGGGAGTCGAACCACAGAAAACTGTGTTTAGGACTGTAGTCTTTGTATGTGATGCTGCTGCTCTACCACTGAGTAGAGATACACACACACATCGGGATGTTTTTCTTTCCTTTTTTTTTTTTTTTTTTACTGAAAACAAAAAGTTTCATGAATGATTGTGAGAAGCTGAATCTACTTTTTGTGTTGGCTGGCTTCCATTTAGCTGCTCTGGCTCCTTCATATCAGACCACAATGCAAGAGCTAAAATGTTTCCAAACATTGTATAAGCAGGCAGACCATGGAAAATCAGTGCCTGTGGGATGTCAAGAGCATTTTCCTGAAATTACTGAGGTCAGGCACAATTCAAACTTGACAAATGAAAAACATTATGCTTCGACCACATAGAGAAAAATAGTGGCCTTACATGTAAAATGTTTATGACGTTAGGGTATTTTTCTGAAATATTTGTACGTTTTTCTTTTTCTTTTAAATATCAGTAATGAAGACAAAGAGCTGCTGCTGCTGCTGCTGCTGCGGCTACTGATGAGCGCAGCTCTATTCTTCTTGGCTGACCAGCTGTCTACCTCCCTGGCTTCAGCCAACAACTTGCAGCTCCCGTCACTGAAATGAAGAGATATGTTCAGATTTGTCCATCATGTTTTCCAGTGGCGACAGCTGGTGATGGAAAAAAAAAAAGGATGCGCAAAGTAAACCAAAAATAAATTGTAGAATCGCTAAGTGGGATGAGCTATTTTGGCAGATAGTCTCCAAATGACAGATGCACGAGTCAGACGTTTCAAAGGCTGGGCTTCTGTGCGTTTCCACATGTTGGCCTGCGTGCAACAATATTCCCTGCTGGGCTGTGCTCTCCCCACAGCGAGCGCAGCGGGACTTATTGCCTTTGACCTCGCCATGTTCTGCCCTGAATTGTTCTTGAATCGTCATCTGTCATCTGCTGAGGGCCAGCCATAAACAAAGATCTGCTTTTGTGCACAGATATGCAGGTTAGCAACAAGAATCAGCAAACGACAAGCGCACACAGCAGTTGGGTGAAAAGCAGCTTAGTACAAACCTCGTCGTACGTCGCTCTGTGCTTGTGCAACACCCTTACACTAACCGCTGATAAAACATGAATGTGTGTGCTTCAGGATGCCGGGTGGCGCAATGTGTGAACCAAATCAAAAGAGATGGATCTGGGATTTCTTTGTACGGATTTCCTCCGTCTCTTGTGGGGGCTGCGCAGGCGGTGGCTGCGTCTGAATGTCTGAGTCTTATTAACACTTCAGACGGGACTGTGGCCTCCGTTGGCCGGTTCATTTTGTCTGCTCGTCTGGACAACATAGGATAAAATAATTACTGCACAGCGAGAAAATGGAGGAACAAATGACATTAAAATGTCAACGAGAGATGTAGGAGAAAACATGCAAAAATGCTTTCAGGTCGGAATGAAGAAGGCAAAATGTTGCAGGTTTCGAGTCTCTGGAAGAGCTTAATTGGTGGCAGCTGTACATAATCGGCAATCAGGGATGCAAAGCCGGTAAATAAGAGCGCCATAGTGAGGAGCACGCCGGGAAGGGCTTAAAAAAAATGTCCCCTAATAACCCGAGTGGTGCTTTTAAAACGGCAGATGAGAATAAAAAATAAATAAAATAAAATTAACGGAAAACCTTTTAAATTTTATCAGCTGCTATAAAGAGGATTATTTAAAAGAAAGAAAAATAATACACATTTCCCCTTTATTTCTGAGAGTAGGAGCCTTGTAAAAGCCTTAATGTTAATAACATTTTTTACACACTTTATGTTACAAATTATAAATGGTTATCAGAATTTGTACAATAAAACCTGAACAGAGCGAAACATGGATTCATATTCAGGTTCCTCAAAGTCAATACTTTAAGGAGCTTTGACTTCATTTACAAGTGAGAGTCTATCAAACTTCACCAGCGTTGCTCATGTAGATACATTGTTGCCCATTTCACTTTGCTAAAAAGCTCAATCTTAGCCACATGGAGAATATATGTGAAAATCTATTTTCAAGTATTGTGATCAGCCGATTGCTACTTTAACTGGGCCTCTCTAAAAAATAAAGTAAGCGTTTGACCTGGTTGAAAGGTGAACCTCAATCCCAGTTTCAAGTCTTTTGCAGATGGAGTTTTCTTACAGGGTTGCCCTGTATTTAACTTACCATCACCTCTAAGTCTGTGTTGAAGAAAAACATTCCCACAGCATGATACTGCCAGCACCATAGCTTGGCGACAGGTTGTTTAGGATGATGTATTTTGGTAGTTTTACACCACAGCTTTGCATGTAGGCTAAAAAGTTGCATTTCTTGTGATTCTTAAACAATAGTTTGCCAGATTTGTCCTATTGACAAATAGGACTAATCCATAGCAGAGTTACTATGGATTGTGCCATACCAGTGGATGGATTGAGCTTCATAAGATGCTTAAAATTTTAGAAAGTTGTTTTTATAGCCCAACCCTGTTCTAAACTTCTCTGTGACTTTATCCCTGGCTTTTCTGCTGTCTTCAAAAAAGAGCAAATTAACCTTTTTTGTTCAGTTCTTAAATGAATAAAACTAAAATAAATGCATTCCTGTCCAAGTTGAAACATAATTTTAGAGTTTGGTGAGTTCTAACTCAATTAAGTTACTCACATTTGTGTCTTTCCCCGACAAGATGCACTCAGTCTTCCTCTGGGACGCAACGGGCCAGTGGATCTGACGGGGAAAGAAAAATCCAAGAGTAGTTAAGCTGCAGACGCATGCTGCTCCCTCCCACTTTATCTGTGCCTCAGGAACATTTCTTACAATGAGCGGCTCCTTGTTGATGTCGTGCAGATCCAGAGAAAGAATGTAATCTTTGCTTCCCACATACATGCGATCGTGGTCCTCGTCCATGCGCAGTATCCGATAGTCGGTTGAGTTGAGCAGGAAGGAGAAGTGATGAGCAGTACCAGTGGACTTCAACTCTGTAAAAATAGCAGAGGATTCTGTTTTAGCTGTGCCTGTGATTAAAATAACAACAATACGCCAAGAATGTACAAACCACAGACGGAGTCCTGGGTGAGGGAAAGTTAATGGGATTTAAGTATGCTAATGATTCAGATGCTACCATCAGACACTCGTAAATGAATTTACAGGATCCGTTTGGTCTTCCCCTCCCCCAATCACATCCTGCTTTAATGCGGTTATGGATGGAATAAATCTAGTTATTGACAGGCTTGACAAAGAAAAGAAGACTAGTAATTGACTCTGCAGAGTCTGAAAGAGTTGGAGCAGTCAATGAGCTACGACAACTGCAAGAAGTCACACGGCGGATCTTAAATTATTAAAGGTCAGATATTTAATAAAGTTCAAGGTCTGGACATCTGAGCTTTGACCTTTTATTTAGAGCTTCGGAGCTTTGATTTTTAATTGCCTGTTCTGAATCTTGAGTTATTGTGGTTATTGCATTATCACAGCTGGTTCCTCTGGGAACGTCACTCAATCGTGAAAATAATTTGTGTTAGAAGACATAAAAAAGAAACAGATAAGTTAAAAAAGAAAATAAAGTCAGTGAAAACAGAAAAGCTGTAAGAAGGATTTTAATAGGCAGCTGTATTTTCTACGAAAATTTGTCGGCGTCTAATTTCATCCTTAGAAAAGTGCAAACAAAACTAAGTGCGTCTTTTCTACCTACTTTTTAAATGAAAAATAAGCTGGACGAGAAGGAAGAAAACTTAAAGAGCACATTCCAGTTCTGCTTGATTAGGTGCAGACATATGCCTCTGTGAATCAAGGTCTGACAGTCACTGATAATAAAAAAGGTTCACAAGAACAGCTAGAAGAAACCCTCCCTGAGCAGAGGGAAGGTCACACACTGAGCAGAAGGAACACCTCAAGTTCTCCACCAGCAAGTGAAATGATGAAACACAGCCACACGAATCCTCCCAGGAAAAAAAAAAAAAACACTCCCAGCTGCTGATGTGCTGAGCCCCATCAGACACCAACAGGCTGTCGTCACAGTGCAGCTTTCCGACATGCAGGTAGTTAAAAAAAGGAGAGAGAGAGAGAAAAAAAAGGCAACGGATATGGCTGTCACCCTTGGGAGTTTTCACAAGCTGCTTCTAAAAACATACTAATATATTGGTCTCCACTCCCACAAATGCACACTTGTAAACTTGCAGTGCAGCAACACACTGCAGGGATGTGGTGACATCAGGATTTAAAAATTCGGCTGCAAGAATAAGAAGATTACTTGCTGAAGTTGGGATTTTGAGAGTGTTTGCACGAGGGATTCCAGGAAATGTTGCCTAAAGTAATCCAGAATGGCTGTTTATAGATTCATCTCTCATCTGGCTGTGCTGCAGCTGTTTGCTTTCCTATTCCTGTTGCTTTACATTCTAAATAAAAGAATAATGTGCCACAATTAACTCTGAATGTATCTGTTAAGCAATAGTATATGGGGGTAGTAAAGCAAGAGCTTCCAGGATTTATTTAGTAGCATCTTAGGTTTATATATTTGAGCTCCCAGTTTCCCTGCAAAGCACTAAAGAACCAGCAGGTGTGAACAGACTTTACCATTGTGTTTAAACGTATAGCTGCACAAACTCACAACCCTCCATATTAAAAAATACGGGGTATGTCAAATGGTGGACGGCAGATTTACAGAACTAGTCTTGTTTCACGACATCGTGCAAATTTTAGCAGACAAATGTAATCTGAGTAAACACAAAATAAACTTTTGTAATAACCAAGATAAAAAAAAATGTGAAAAATTGCTTGAGTCTTGAATTGCTTTTACCACCCAGAGTTTTTTTTTACTGAGGAGGAAATATGGCTTATTTCTATTTGGTGAGTTAATATGATCAATCTGTATTGGAGGATTCCTCAGTTTGACAACTCAAAGACAGTACACTTTATTTTTTGAGCAAACAAGTCTTGTGTTCTTCTTAGTCAGCAGTGGTTTTCACCTTGAAGCGATCCCATAAATGCCACCTTTTCCTGATGTCTTTCTTGTTGTTGAGCCATGAACATTTGAGGCAAGTGAGGCCTGCTGTACTTTAGATGTTCTGGGTACATAATGCACTGTTGGAGAAATGTTGGTAGAGTTGCCAACTGTTCCATGTTTTGCTCATTTGTGGATAATAGTTTTGAAAATGGCAACATGAATTTACCCAGGATATCTTTTTCTGATATGAAACTTTTGAGATGATCTAATCGTTTATAGACGATAAAACGAGGAGAAGAAATGTTTAGGGTTGAAACACTTTTCTGAGTAAATAAAGACAGTAAAATTTTCCAATGAGATAAAGTGATTATCCAAATTTTCTTCAGATTTTTGGTGTTCTTTCTGCTGGAGATTATTTTAAAAGTAATCCTATCATCAAGGAAAAAAAAATGCATGTAGTTTTTAGCATTATGTCAAGTATTTAACAGAACTCGAAGGTCTGTGCATTTATTTTTCCAACCCTTTCTTTTCTTCAGAACGGTTAGTACTCATGTCTCTGATTTTATCTGATTAAATTTAATAACTTGGTTACAACACTGCTATTATTAAAATCCACCAAAGCCATAGGAAACTCCACCTTTAATTGACATGGATTACATCCCTAATCTCCAGTCTATATTTCAAGCAATCTAATTATATTCTACATGGATCTTGTGAAATATATACTTATCTGAATCTGATGTAAAAAAAAAAAAAGAAAAAGGAAATATTCCTAAAGGATAAGGAGAAATAATTTTTCTAGAAACCTCTTGTCATATTCTAAGGAACCACACTTTTCCTGAATTGTACTTGGGCTTTAAGGACTGCAGATGCCATCAAAGATATTTCATATTTATCACCTTTGGACTTTTATTCCCACTCAAGAGTAAGAGGACAAAAATTGGCTGCTACAAGTCTGAAGGACACTCGGGCCACTGCAAACAAAACCTGACAAGCAGACTGACGGATAACTCCCTGAGTTACGAATAAACAGTCGTCACAACTTATTAACCGTTAAGGGGAACCAACTTTAAGGCCTCCTAACTGAAGTCAGTTTTCCATCCAGAAAATTAAGTTTCATCCTGACAAACAAATTGAAACTTTCAAAATAATTATCAAAGCATAACTAACTGTGAAAAAGTTTTTTCTTTATTCATCAGTCACCCCCCTGACAATACTCAGTTTATTTTTCAAATCATACAGCTGATAAAGATGATATAGCAAATGTTTTCTCTAAAAGCAAAAGAAAACAGCATCTTTTCATGCAAGTCTGGGACATTTCTACTAACAAAATTAAAGGCAAATGCAGGCTAGCATATGAAATGAATAGTTAATGGATCTCCATCACCGGCGCATGTTTTTATCACGCAGTCCTGTTCTTCAACTTTATTAAAAATTTAACTAATTGCGATGTTGTGGTTTGCAATGAGTGAAACAGAGTCCAAGCTGCAGCAGTATGATCCCTGAAAACAATCCACATCAATTAGTGGTAGTGTCATATAAATTTATACATGGAGCTCATTTCACATTTATAGAAACAAAAAAATCCTTGAAATAAATGTATATTTTAATGCTGTACTACATTTTCAAACAGTAAAACCTGAGAAAATGTTAGCCATCAATTTGGGTACATTTGTTCAGTAGAGGTAAACAAAAAAAAAAAGACTAAAATTGATACATAGTGCTATGGATGCTCCACCATAAATAAAAATATGCACAAAGTGATTTTGCATACATTTTAATTTTTTTCTAGACGTCCCTGGACAGTTTGCGACAGAAAATCTCAATCTTAGTCTCACCAAAGTACACTGCGACAAAGTTTCAGTAGCAACTCTACATATATTCAATGTATGAAACAGGCTTTTAGTTGGTTTGTCTCCCTAACAACCACTTGATATGCGCAGAGTTTCACATCCATTGGTTTGTAATTGCACTACTTGCAGTAGTTCCCCAACATTGAGCCTAAGCGATTTGTTTTTTTTACCTTCCTTAGCATCTTCCTCACTCACAAATGGCGCTGCATCCAGACTGGTGGCCAGAGGCTAAAATTAACAAACTACCAAGTACAAGTTCCTTGACATTTTGTTCATCTTAAATAATTCAAGTATAAATTAGGAGATTTAGTAAAATTATTTTTTAGCACTAGCCACTCCTTTCACTCTGACATTTTAATTGGTTTTGTTAAAATGACAATTTACCCTGGATGAAGAATTTTTACACAAGCATGCTAAAACACGTTTCCTTTGAACTCGAACAGCTCGGCTAGATAAGGAGTACAGTATGATAGCGATCCGCCTCGAAGTGTGCACACACTTTACTGTCAACAGAAACTCAATCGCTAAAAAAAGCATTCCTGCGTGTTATGGGTCAGCAAAACAAGCCCCATCAGGACAAGAGAAATGCTGTGAAACAAACCAAAGCCTTGACATGACGTTAAGCGGCTGAATTTACAACCAGCTGGTAGGTTCGGCGATTGATGGGGGACAAATGTCAGGATCTGGTGTTAATCATCCCACTTTCTCACAAGGCCTTAGTAATGACTACCAGACACAGAGGGAGACATGGAAAATTGTTTTTCGTGTCCTAAAATGTCCTTAGATTTTTGTTGTTAAAAATGCCTGCTAATAAACTGAACATCCATCTGCGGTGTTGTCACATTTTTCCTCCATTTATTGTAGCTAATGAATCCAAATGATTGACTACTTGTATCAAATTTTGTGTAAAATAAGAGAAGCTTTCTTGGTAACCCTAGAAAGTGGACCTTTCTTTGCATCTGCAAGATCAAGGAGGATGCACCACCCAGAAACCTCCACCACCCCCCTTTTTAAGCCTCTGTAATCCAAGTCCCTTTCTTAGCAGCAGTTTGTCTGTGGAGTAAAAGAAAAATAAGGAGGTTTTAGGGTGCACAGAGCAGAAAATCCCGCATACCTGCCCAGGCACCCATGGACTGTTGTCTGAATTCCCTAAGCCTGCTCATGTTCACTTTTGCTTAAAATAGAG